GTCGATCCATGTTACTCTTTATTTATAACCATATATTAACAATATGTGATGTTCTGTCTAATATTAATACATATATTGAAGGTTGATACTGTTACGAATCAACTTCTGGACCTGGACAGGAACACAAGTTGTAGGTCTGTTTTATAAACCTTTAATACTTTCTACCGTCATTCAATAATTTGTTTGTACGTGACGAACTTGTATATAAATCATAGATAAAATGTCTGTTATCATCGGAGGTCATCAAATGAACGTGCTTTTATTCATTCAAATAAAATAAACATAATTTAACTAACTGACTCTTACCATATGTGTAGCATGCTCTTACTTTACCTTACAGCGCAATAAGGCCAGCTTATACTAACCTAACAAGTGGGTGGTCAAAGGCCCGCTATCTATTAATGTCGTCATTCAAATCATTGTTTTCTGTAATAGTGAATCATTTGTTCTGGCGATACTTGTTTCAAGCCAATTATTTAACCAGCTAACCCCAGTAGTTCATTGATGCGAGCTGGCACCATGTGGATCAGAATTCTTTGCGGTTACTCTGGGTTTCTACAACGGGATTGCTTGAGGTTGGTCGGATGGAATAGTACTTTTAGAAGTTTGTTTCTTTGATATAGATATTATAATAAAGCTCGTTTAGGTATCAGTCTGTTTCCATGAAACACAAATTAAATAAACAATGTATTTATGATGAATATTAAAAACAGGTGCCCTCTAAGTTTATTATTTCTTAATACAATATATAGGGGCTTGTTTTGCCCATTGTTCAATAACTAGTTCATACCAACAAAGAGTTATTTCACTGGTCTCTGTGGAAATCTTTACTCGACTCGTACTCTGTCCTATTTCCACTGATTTACACCTCAGTATCCCATGTTTTCTTTTACATCATTCGCCAAGCGTTGACAGGGTCCCTGGTCCACAACATCTATCTAGAGATAGGAGGGCCCTGGTCCACAACATCCATCTCGGGTCAGGAGGTCCCTGGTCCACAACATCCATCTAGAGATAGGAGGTCCCAGGTCCACAACATCCATCTAGAGCTAGGAGGTCCCTGGTCCGCAACATCCATCTAGAGCTAGGAGGTCCCAGGTCCACAACATCCATCTAGAGATAGGAGGTCCCTGGTCCACAACATCCATCTAGAGATAGGAGGTCCCTAGTCCACAACATCCATCTAGAGATAAGAGGTCCCTAAACCACATCATCCATCTGGAGATAGGAGGTCCCTAGTCCACAACATCCATCTAGAGATAAGAGGTCCCAGGTCCACAACATCCATCTAGAGATAGGAGGTCCCTGGTCCACAACATCCATCTAGAGATAAGAGGTCCCTAGACCACATCATCCATCTAGAGATAGGAGGTCCCTGGTTTGCAACATCCATCTAGAGATAGGAGGTCCCTGGTCCACAACATCCATCTAGAGATAGGAGGTCCCTGGTCCACAACATCCATCTAGAGATAAGAGGTCCCTAGACCACATCATCCATCTGGAGATAGGAGGTCCCTGGTCCACAACATCCATCTAGAGTTAGGAGGTCCCTGGTCCACAACATCCATCTATAGTAAGGAGGTCTCTGGTCCACAACATCCATCTAGAGATAGGAGGTCCCTAGTCCACCTCATCCATCTAGTGTTCGGAGGTCCATGGTCCACAACATCCATCTAGAGTTAGGAGGTCCCTAGTCCACAACATCAATCTAGAGATAGGAGGTCCCTGGTCCACAACATCCATCTAGAGATAGGAGGTCCCTAGTCCACAACATCCATCTAGAGTTAGGAGGTCCCTAGTCAACAACATCCATCTAGTGTTCGGAGGTCCTTGGTCCACAACATCCATCTAGAGTTAGGAGGTCCCTAGTCCACAACATCCATCTAGAGTTAGGAGGTCCCTAGTCCACAACATCCATCTAGAGTTAGGAGGTCCCTGGTCCACAACATCCATCTAGAGTTAGGAGGTCCCTAGTCCACAACATCCATCTAGTGTTAGGAGGTCCCTAGTCCACAACATCCATCTAGAGTTAGGAGGTCCCTGGTCCACAACATCCATCTAGAGTTAGGAGGTCCCTAGTCCACAACATCCATCTAGAGTTAGGAGGTCCCTAGTCCACAACATCCATCTAGAGTTAGGAGGTCCCTAGTCCACAACATCCATCTAGAGTTAGGAGGTCCCTGGTCCACAACATCCATCTAGAGTTAGGAGGTCCCTAGTCCACAACATCCATCTAGTGTTAGGAGGTCCCTAGTCCACAACATCCATCTAGAGTTAGGAGGTCCCTGGTCCACAACATCCATCTAGAGTTAGGAGGTCCCTAGTCCACAACATCCATCTAGAGTTAGGAGGTCCCTAGTCCACAACATCCATCTAGAGTTAGGAGGTCCCTAGTCCACAACATCCATCTAGAGTTAGGAGGTCCCTAGTCCACAACATCCATCTAGAGTTAGGAGGTCCCTGGTCCACAACATCCATCTAGAGTTAGGAGGTCCCTAGTCCACAACATCCATCTAGTGTTAGGAGGTCCCTAGTCCACAACATCCATCTAGAGTTAGGAGGTCCCTGGTCCACAACATCCATCTAGAGTTAGGAGGTCCCTAGTCCACAACATCCATCTAGAGTTAGGAGGTCCCTAGTCCACAACATCCATCTAGAGTTAGGAGGTCCCTGGTCCACAACATCCATCTAGAGTTAGGAGGTCCCTAGTCCACAACATCCATCTAGTGTTAGGAGGTCCCTAGTCCACAACATCAATCTAGAGATAGGAGGTCCCTGGTCCACAACATCCATCTAGAGTTAGGAGGTCCCTAGTCCACAACATCCATCTAGAGTTAGGAGGTCCCTGGTCCACAACATCCATCTAGAGTTAGGAGGTCCCTAGTCCACAACATCCATCTAGAGTTAGGAGGTCCCTAGTCCACAACATCCATCTAGAGTTAGGAGGTCCCTAGTCCACAACATCCATCTAGAGTTAGGAGGTCCCTAGTCCACAACATCCATCTAGAGTTAGGAGGTCCCTAGTCCACAACATCCATCTAGAGTTAGGAGGTCCCTAGTCCACAACATCCATCTAGAGTTAGGAGGTCCCTAGTCCACAACATCCATCTAGAGTTAGGAGGTCCCTGGTCCACAACATCCATCTAGAGTTAGGAGGTCCCTAGTCCACAACATCCATCTAGAGTTAGGAGGTCCCTAGTCCACAACATCCATCTAGAGTTAGGAGGTCCCTAGTCCACAACATCCATCTAGAGTTAGGAGGTCCCTAGTCCACAACATCCATCTAGAGTTAGGAGGTCCCTAGTCCACAACATCCATCTAGAGTTAGGAGGTCCCTGGTCCACAACATCCATCTAGAGTTAGGAGGTCCCTAGTCCACAACATCCATCTAGAGTTAGGAGGTCCCTAGTCCACAACATCCATCTAGAGTTAGGAGGTCCCTAGTCCACAACATCCATCTAGAGTTAGGAGGTCCCTAGTCCACAACATCCATCTAGAGTTAGGAGGTCCCTGGTCCACAACATCCATCTAGAGATAGGAGGTCCCTAGTCCACAACATCCATCTAGTGTTAGGAGGTCCCTGGTCCACAACATCCATCTAGAGATAGGAGGTCCCTAGTCCACAACATCCATCTAGAGTTAGGAGGTCCATGGTCCACAACATCCATCTAGAGATAGGAGGTCCCTGGTCCACAACATCCATCTACAGTCAGCAGGTCCCTGGTCCACAACATCCATCTATAGATAGGAGGTCCCTAGTCCACAACATCCATCTAGTGTTAGGAGGTCCTTGGTCCACAACATCCCTCTAGAGATAGGAGGTCCCTAGTCCACAACATCCATCTAGAGATAGGAGGTCCCTGGTCCACAACATCCATCTAGAGTTAGGAGGTCCCTGGTCCACAACATCCATCTAGTGTTAGGAGGTTCCTGGTCCACAACATCCATCTAGAGTTAGGAGGTTCTTGGTCTACAACGTCCGTCCATTGTTCCGTTGGAAGTCCCTGTTCTACAGTGGCCGTCAAGCATCAGGAGAAAGCGCCCCTTTAACATAGCGAAGATCTCCACCTCATTGTTGTAAAAGACAACTGTTGTGGTGACTACATCATCTCTGCCCTCACCTTCAGGAACAGCTCAAATCTACCAGCTACCCTGATTGTAATAATTTTGAAATGTTGTATTGTTATCTTGTCCGATATAGCTTCTCTGTGTATCCACTGCCATGGCCTAAGGTTGACCAGTGCTAACGTAAAATACAAAATCCTCATCAATACCTTTGACCGTTAGGATGTTGAAAATGTGAATTTACCCCATAACCCTGCCTTATCATCTTGCTGGTTATTAGTCTCCTATAGACAGAGAAAAGTTTCGCTAGCAGTCATGTTTTCACAAATCAAACTTTATATAATATGTCATGAAGCTCGTCCTAGGAGTAAACACAATACCACGGAATTTGTGACAATACCAAAATTTAAATGAAAATAGTTCATTTCACTAACAAATGATTCAAACTTCTTTTTGATCTGTAAACAATCGCAGAAACGATACAATTCCAAACTTAATCTGAATCTAACTGTTGATTGTCATAGTGATCACGAAAATTACTGAAACTGATTCCCTTTTTAATACCAAAGGGAGATAATCTGCTAAAGTGCCGCCATCCTAGCTAACACATCGCTTGTGGTAATTATAAAGCAACTGCATACTTACCAACCTTTCAATTTTAATTTAAACCGCTTTTAACACCTGAAAACTTCCAAGAAGTACTTAAGATTACCCTATGTGAGAAATTAGTAATACAAAATAACATAGTTTGAGCAGTTTTATACAATGATTTGATTAAATTTGAGCAAAATGCCAGATAAAGGAAGTTTTGCTGAAATCAAAAGTCAAAAACGAGAGTGGAAAATTGAAAGTTGTCCTCCAAAATACGGACACTTGGCAAGCATGCAATGTTGTAAGGTTAAGTGAAAACAATAAAACATGACAAGACACCATAATTTGTTTCTACAAAGGATATTTTTATTCACTGGCTCATGGACACAAGTAAGGAATGTAGCATCTGTACAGTAAGTTAACAGTGAGGGGAGCTGTACAAATGACAAAGGGACAGGCTGCTGAAAACAATATCTACTACCAACGAGTGTACACTACGGATATTGTACCTCTCCGACAAATCCAAACAGGTGTCTCAGGTTAAAATATTATACGTATCTTTACTGTGTCATCAATATTTAATTAAGACATGTTTTACTACATGTTTTACTATACTGACATGAAAATATTCCTTATTCCAACTTTTCAATAAACACACATATTAGCATGTCTGTTTTAATTCAATGTTAGACATATCTTGCTCAAAATTAAGACGTGAGTGTTTACATCAACATTTGACAAGCATTTGAGACATATCCTGGACCTAAATAAGACATGTCTTACTTTCACATCTAAGACATCTCCAGCATCTCCTTCAGATGTGTCTTACTTTAACATCTAAGACATCTCCTTCAGGTGTGTCTAACTTTAACATGTAAGACATATCCAGCATCTCCGTAAGATGTGTCTTACTTTCACATGTAGGACATACCCTGTCCCTACATAAGATGTGTCTTACTTTCACATGTAAGACATATCCTGTCCCTAACTTAAGATGTGTCTTACTTTCACATGTTACATTAAGCACACAATGTATTGCACCAGCTTCAGACACATCACTACACTGACCAATGTATTGACCACCAATCATTGGACTTGGCAAGAACATTGTAATACAACTTATTACATTGTATTTCAAAACATAGCAGAATGCAACAATATAAAAAACTGCTATTGTATAGATACATAGATTGTCAACTCAGTTATATATTTGAACATCTGAATTTCAGATAAAATACTTTCTGATATCTTTTATTGTAAAATTAGATATTATATTGTTCCATGGCAACCAAGTTCTTCCAAATTTTCTTTATTATGTAAGTATAACAAATAATGTGCCTATTTCAGCCACATCAAAGGTGTTCACTTTAGAATAGGTGAGTAATCTGCCTTTATACCTGTGTTTGTTACAGAGATAGACTGTGTTAGGACTGGCCGGGGTAAAGGGGGAGGGGTGGAAGGAGGGTGCTGATGGACTGGGACATGGCTGTGGGACTAGTCAGTTGTATGTTTTATTTGTAACATGTAGTATATGTATATATTGCCTGCATACCCCTAACACCTACCCTAATACATGCAAGCTTAGTGAGGGTCTCTCTCGTGTACCTACATACCCCTAACACATACCCTAATACATACAAGCTTAGTGAGGGTCTCTCTCGTGTACCTACATACTGAGGTCTAGATGTTCCTGTAGTGTTAGGGGGAAAGAGGCATATCATTGCTTTATTGCACTAAAATCAATCGCATTAAACACAAAAAGTACATAAAAATGTAAGTGTGGTACGATAGAACAGGATAAACCTGGAGGAATTGCCAACCCAAGTCAGTTATAGCAGAGTCAGATGTCGTTAGTCTCCACACAAACATAACTATCTCAATGGTACTAATTTTAACTTCTGTTATCTACAGATTAAGGATTTCAATAAAGGTCTTCATCAATCTCTCATAAACAAATAGAACAAGAAATGTAGATACGTAAATAACAAGTACCAGGATTATGACACTTTGTAAACAAAAAACAAAAAAATATCTTTTTCTGCTTTAAAGTAGATATCAGATGAAAGTCGTAAAATTGGTGAATGACAAAAATAAAGATAAAAATACAGGTAGATGTATTGCGTTGTTTACTTTTGGAAAAAAGTGATATTGCCATAAAGAAACATTACCCTGTCAAAATAATTTAACAAGTGTGATGAATGTTTATAAAATAATCATTACTGCAAACAGTAAGTGTTTTTAACATCCTAGAAATAATCCAGGTTTAGATGAATGATCAGTCAACAGCTTCAGTATGGTGAACGGGTCAGACTGTAGCCTCAGTAGAGGGATCAAGAGTGCTTAAATTACAATATACAATTTATATGACAACTATGTCCTAGTCACAGAGATCCACCTCTAGTGGATTCAATAGGACAATCTCTACAGAAATGTATCCCAGGACAACAAATGAACCAATGATAAGCTAAACGTGAGCCACGAATATTTAAAATGCAAAACACTACACTTGTGCCTCGAGACAACAAATTTAATACAAACCATTTGCTAACATCTTACAATTTTTTCATAAACTCTCTTGGTATGAAAAATAACCATGACAAATAATAATAATTCTATCACATAAGACTTTTTTTTTTACTTGAGATATGGGAACAGGGGGTAAATAACGTGTGATCAGAGGTCTACATGCTAAAAATGACACCAAGCACAGGTAAAAAATACTTGACAAATAAAAACTTTACACGAGTTCCTAATACCAAATAAGTGATCTTTGTAATTTCATCCTTGCATTTAAACTGAAAATATCTACAAATGCAAACCATTTTATTGAAATATCAGAATCTGGACTTTTAAATGTTATGTTTAAGATTTTAGTATCAACTATCTTTACACAAAAATATGTTTGAAAATATCTTAATCATTATCTGATTTCAGGCTCTTATGCCATACTACCTACGTTTTATAGATCCTCTGAGTTATTTCATGTTTTATTTTCTATTACAATAATGTATTGCATATACAGAAAAAAAGGTTTAAATGATGTTCTGAACTGTTTTCACATCATTGGATTTTCAAAACAAAATGGCACAATGAATAAAGGTTTACTTGTGACATATCAATATACATATATACACCCATAAATAGTTCATATTATATTTCAGTCAACTGATATGGGGAGAAACATTGATGTCTTTGTTTCTATGTAACAAGCACATGGACAACAACAGAAGATACACTGATAATAGTAACTAATATTGAGTAGAAAAATCTTCTAGATCAAATACATTGACTTAACATATAGACACTTTGATTTATTCAAATTTTAACTAAAACATCTTACACAACAAATAGATTGACCAATCAGATTCTACATATCTGTACAAAGACTTCTGTCAAGGTTTCTGATTGGTTGAACCAACATTTCTGAAATATCCAATCATATTGCTCCTTGAAGTTCCTGTTCAAGATTTTGATTGGTTGTGTATCTTTGAATATGTCTGACAAAGATACCTGTAACATCATACCAACAGACACCGAGGCAGTGTAGCTCTCCATACCATGTCATTCCTAGATAGAATGGAATACTAGGTTTTCATTGCGTAATTCAACAAAATGTCTATTTTACAAATGGCAGATCTTTACATAATAAAAATCCCTTACAACATTAAAATACATTCGTTCTTCACATTTTCCCACTCATCTATCCGTTTGAGATCATTTATTCCATTATGGTAAGAAAAAAGTATGGAGGTCTGTGGGTATCACAGGCCTATTGTACATCCTTCACCATGGGTAGGTATGGAAACCTGTTGGTGCTATTGCTGCTGTGTGAAAGGTAGTTCTCAAACAGGTGGCTCGACCGCTCTTGGGATTCTGGAATGAAAAATTTACAGAATATTCAACTTTGTATTCACACTGTTGACCTGAGTTAATAAAGTTCAGAACAAAATCTGAACTAATCTGACCAGTTAGATAATGGAGCAACTCTGAATTTCTTAAATGAGTTGATCACCTCTATGTGGCATAAACAGAGAAATCTCAATCTAGGCATCCAATATTTTAACAAAAATTGACACAGCTTCGTCCCCGACAAACCAAGATCCTACCCTCTGGTTGAGAATTCTGTGACAACATCACATAGGAGTGATTTCAGTTTCCATGCCTGCCATTTCAACAAATAATAATTTGAAATGTTGCATTCACATTTATTTGAGAAGGCTGTCACATAGTCTAAATCTGAGGAACATTAAGTGAGACTGAATTTGTATCGCCTTCCTAAATCTGGATACTCCTGCATATTAAGTAAAAAATAATATTTTAAACCTGCATCATCTTTATTTTCTTCTTTTATTATGGATTACAATTACAAGAAAGGAGACTATTTTCTTGGAATATGCCTTGATAAAATTGTCTTCTAATGATGATCATGACTCTCTTCATGACCTTGCATGGCCTTGAGTGACCTTGACTTGTACTGACCTGAGTTACAGCTCATTCGCCTTTCGATAGCCTCACTCTGCATCTCCTTCTCAACTTCCTTCTCACTTGCAGATTCTTGAAAAGAAAAAACTGTTTATCGTATTTTTCATAACAATGATGCATTCATCTCTGCTAATAAGCATTTCAGAGTGTACAATACAAAGGAGAGAGATGGAGACCCTAGTAGGGAGTTGAAGGATGTATCTAGTTGAGAGTGGGGATGGGGAATCCAGAATAAGGTTGGTCCACAGTTTCAGCAGCCATCAGTATGGGAATGAGATTTCTGGGGCTGTGGTTGGGAATGAGATTTCTGGGGCTGTGGTTGGGGAGGAGATCTTTTGGGCTGTGGTTGGGGAGGAGATTTTTGGGGCTGTGGTTCGGAATGAGATTTCTGGGGCTGTGGTTGGGGAGGAGATCTTTGGGGCTGTGGTTGGGGAGGAGATCTTTGGGGCTGTGGTTGGGAACAAGATCTTTGGTCAGAGGCAAACACTCACCATTGTTGTTTTTTACAGAGTCAGGACTTGGAACACTGGCTGTGTGGGGGCTGTGTGATGCTTTAGCCTGCTGCTCTAATGAGATTTCCATCATCTGTTGTTCCTGAATTTTCCTTCGTATCCTCTTTTCTCTCTTTATCCTCTTAAGAAGTGCAACTATAAAAAAAATGAAAAGGAGAAATGATGAATGTCTGATAGAAATTTTTGCATGCATACAGAAAGGAAATTTATTCATATTTCTTTAAAAATATTTCAAAAACCAAACATAAATTACATTGTACTAAGCTTTATGTTTAAATATCTGAACAAAAATATTCTGATAAAAAATAAATTGTATCAATGTTTGGTTTAGAAAGGCTATTGAATAGAAAAATATCTTTCTGCGGACACAGTGTCTGATTTGAGAGGTTTCTGTTTGTATAGAGACATTTTCCACTCACTTTTGACAGGTTTCTGTTAATACTAAGATTTATCTGGTTTCCAAAGGTTCTTTATGTAAAGAAGGTATTTGATTAAAGAAGTTTCTGCATGTGCAGTATCTAACTTATAGCAATTTCTGTATGTACAGTGTCTGACCAATAGAGGTTTCTGTATGAACAATGTCTGACTAATAGAGGTTTCTGTATGTATAGTATCTGACTAATAGAGGTTTCTGTATGCACAGTGTCTGACTAATAGAGATTTTTGTATGGGCAGTATCTGACTAAGAGAGGTTTCTGTATGTACAGTGTCTCACTAAGAGAGGTTTTGTATGTACAGTATCTGACTTAGAGAGGTTTCTATATGTACAGTATTCAGTGAAAATAGGTTTTTTATTAGTAGCTAATATCACACCTTTGCTTCTCTGCTCAGCAGACAGCTGCTTCTCCAAACTCTCACGGACTTCTTTCTCTCTGATCAACTCCATCTTAAGCTCAGCTGTAAAAACAAGGGGAGATTATTGTAAATCACAATATCAGATAAAAGATTTTCCTGTAAAGTACTACTTAAGACACAAGACTTTCCAGTAAAGAACAATTTAAGACACACGATTTTCCCATAAAGTACAATTAAAGAAAACAAGACTTTCCATTAAAGAACAATTTAAGACAAAAGATTTTCCTGTAAAGCATAATATAAGACACAAGCTTTTTCTGAAATGAAAACTGTTCAACATGTTATATATACCTTCCATAATCGAAGCATACATTTTCATCTCCTAACCAATTATTTTGACTGGTTTTCGAAAAAATAGTTGCTTAAAATACAATTAATTTTTGTTATGCAAGAAATAGCTTATCTTGCTCAACAGCACAATCAGTGTGGAAGGTGTTTTTATACTGCTGTTACCACAGGTCTCCGACACAGCAGAAGGAAAGAGCTATATCTTAACGCTCCTACCCTACTCAGCCACATACATAGTCAATGCATGTAATGGTTGAATTCAGATGAATGGACATTCATCAGTTAATGTATATTTTAACATATTTTTAAAATCCTTTAACATCTGAAATTATATATTCTATTAACTGACAAAGCAGCCTCAATTTAGGCATCCTAGCATTAAATTCTGGTCTGCCCTTCCTCCATGTTACTAACATGCCCACACCACCCAGAGGATAACAAGTTAACACACACTATATTTACAGTGATGCTTTTACCCCTACTAGGGACCTGAGGGACCTCCAACCAGGTTCAGGGTTGGCTATCATGACTGGTTCAGGGTAGCTAGCATGACTTGTTCTCAGTAGCTATCATGACTGGTTCAGTGTAGCTATCATGACTGGTACAGGGTAGCTATCATGACTGGTTCAGGGTAGCTATCATGACTGGTTCAGGGTAGCTATCATGACCGGTTCAGGGTGGCTATCATGAGAATCCTTTAAAGTTACTATAAACACCTAAGTTTCACACATCCAGTCATTGTATATAAGCTGGTTACAAAATAACAACTGCTTGTCATTTCTACTTGGGTGGCTGATCCCACGTGTGATCTGTATTAGCCTTTCTGTTACTACATATATACAGCCACATAAAGTGAATTCCAAATTGATCACACACCTTCTGTTGCCTTTCATAATAGGTTTTTACCGTATGTTTCCATGAATAATGAAGTGAATCTATTGCTGATTACCTTTCCTCCATTTACAACAATCAATTTGGTATCTAATTTTGAGGACAGGAATTTATGAGCACTGTTTCCACTTCATCTAAACCTGATAATTCCAACGATTATCCCCTTCCAGACAAACATCATTAAACTTTGTGTATCAGTAGCTGATCATTGTTCAAAAAGAATACTTATGAACATTTATATTATTCATTTGAATTTCTAAAAGCTTGCTATCATAAATTGAGCAATAAAATGTAGCATGCCTCAGATACCGGCAATTATCTTCACCATACAACAAAACACGCTCAGGTATTACTTTTGTCTCACAAATGGCTGTCTTTCTCTATATATGAATATTTAAACTCTGAACAGGTGTAGGGTTCCTGGAGAACAGTACAGCGGACTACATTGTATTTGAGATACCCTACTTCCTCCTCAATGATGGGTATTTACTGTAACTGTAAATTTTTATTGAATTTGAAATATTAATGTAGCAATATGCTGTTGTCATTTCTGCTGTTAAGTATCTGTAGCGTAACGATTGCTGATCATCGTAACAATATTGTTAGCACATTAGTCCTATACACATTTACACACCTGAATAGCTAGGTAGGCGTAACATAAAGTATTGCATTTTATCAATACCTGGTGTATATGAATAATTATCCATTACAGGTAAAAATGACTACCATCGTTACAATGGATCCGATCCCATTCCCCTCTCACTGCAGGTCCAGGACGTTTTACTTAAGGAGAGTTGTTTCCACTTGCAGTGGAACACTTACATTTCCGTTAATGTATAAAATGACATTTCCATTTTATAACCTCTAACTATGTTCATAAAAAAAAAATCTTTTAGAGCTAGTTTTTGATTATTATAATGTTCATAGAAATAAGGAAAGTTCTTTTCTATTATATTTCTTGCTATATAATGTTCATGAAAATAGTATTTATTTTACAGATAATTTTCCCATCGTTTTAATTCAGTGTGTTTCCATTTAAAGTGTAACTTTATTTTGTGCCACTATTTCCTGATTTTGTAGTACTATGTCTGTATAGGCAAACCCATCATTTTTTAACATCACATACCAATCCCAGTATGTTTATCCATACAAGCTTATTCACAGAAGTCCATATTCACCAGACACTGGAGAAAGATAAAAATCTGTCAGTTTGGAGAATCTTGTAATTTTAATCATTGTGTCTAAATGGAAGAACATGATATACCCGTTATTTTTCTGAGTTTTTACTTCAAAGTGAGCACACAGACAACACTAACCACGGTAATATTCCTCAATGAACAGTAATTCGTGCTACACAAATTGTCATGATTCTGACATTAACCAAGGAAAGGCTATGATTTAAGATTGTGTTCACTTTAATGTGTCAAATTCACCCCCGTGTTTTAGCGTTTTTGTACACTTGGGTGTCAGGACAATGTTCAGATAGCCTCCTCCCAGACACTGCTGATGGAAAGGTGACGGAAGGAAAAAAATTGATCTTGTTCTGTCTAGTTTTATATAGCTTTTTCTTTTCAACCTCTTTGGTCAAACGATCATCAGCAAGCGTTATGGAGGCTATTTGTTGCACAGACTTTTTTTTAAGCTTCACCATGTTTTTTTCCCAATGTTTTGGCAAATGAAACAAAAGCAAATGATAATAAATATTTACACAAAATACGGAAAACTGTCACTTTGGAATGTCACTATCACAGCTAAGCACTAGTACATTGTGTTCTTAACAAGATTTCCAATAAATAAGGATATACTGATGGCTGCTGAAACTGCGGACCATAGAGAAACAGAAATAACAAAATCTACCGAAAAGCCGCATTCAGACGTTCGTACAAAAAATAAGGTGTGTGAATACCTATCTATCATGATAGTCGGAGCTTGGGCTTTATTACACGATATTATACGGGCATTAGTGTCTACAAAAAACACTACAGAACGCATTGGGTTTTTATATCCATATTCCTGGATGTGTCACAAAAGTGATATATATTCCAAATCACTTCCATAAGATACGGAAATGATACATTGCACACTGACGTTGACCCATCACGCCTGTCAGGCTCTCTGTAATCAATCAAATAATTAAATACTCTTTATGACAAATTCCTTTTTCTCCATACTTTTGTCTGTATCGGGGCCATTATCTATGCTGGGATTGCCAGTCGTGGACAGAATGGCACTTCGCTCGCAAATGAACCAATGTCTGGGTTATTTTTTTTATTTTTTCCGAATTTTGACAAGATTTTTTTCTCTTCCTGTATAATAAGATGACAAGCAGATAGAATTTCAAATTAACCCAAGGCTTGGCTTCCTACTGAAAACAATAACTCAGGATACTTCACAGAAACAATCTGGCAAATCTTCACCCTACAAATGTGGTCAAATTGACCCTTATAGTGATGGTCAAGTCAAGACAATACAGTAGTAGCAAATGTAAAGGTCACTGATGGCGATGGGCCCATAGATTGAAATGTCATTGTTCAAATTTGAATTAGAAATTATGCAGTCTTTTTACATCGAGTATAGAAGGTGGCAACCAGTCAATTTGGAGCAATGCAGGTAATATTTTGAGCTATATGCTGGTTAGATTTGGAGCATTACAGGTAAGATTTGGAGCTACGCAGTTAAGCTTCGGAAGTTTAAGGCAGATTGGGTTTAGAAATAGGCAGGTAAAATTTGGAATCAGGTAATTTGGGAGGTCGTGAAATGGAGGGATACATGTGTGCTGTGTGTGGTATGTATAAAAGAATGTTTGGGGCTACCATTTGTGGGTATGTGGGGTAGGTCTAGCTAGGTGTGGTCTCACTGGGAAGGTTGTTTACCTGACTGTGCAGGTAATCCAGCGTATTCACCAATGTATAGATATCTGTTTGTTTATACAGTCGTAAATTACAAGTTTAGCTGGAATAGGATACCCGTTCACTGGTATAATCAACAACCATGATCTGAGGGAAAAGTTTAACATGGCCTGGTGCACACAACCACGATTACACATTTCCACACATGCAGAAAATCGTAATTATCAAAACAACTCTGGTGCCGGTTTTATGTTCCTAGTGGGCATCTCATGACATTTTCAATTTGTTTACTAAAAACCTGCGACTGACTGGTTATCATTGGTAGGAGCGGGTGTTTAGGTACGAACTGTATAGTGAAACTTAGTCACCAGAACTAAATACAGAAACAAGAAAGTCTACCCATTCATGTTGTTAAATAACATCTTGATGATAATTTACGACAAGTTATTTATAGGTACTGAGCTATCAAATCTTCGTCTCCGCCGTATTACAATGTGTCTCTTATTGACACTGATTTGTTAGTAATGATTACGGTAATAATTCTGCTAATCGGAGATCTGTAGTGTTTACATTCCTAGAACTGGCAGAGTGGCACTGCTAGGGGTATTGATCCTCCGTGGGAGTCGGTGTAGTTTTAATGTCCTTACACAGACTATCCCATTACAACTGACCAATTAAGAAATGATTTGTTAGAGATATAAATATCAACTAAAATAACAAAATCTCTTTGTATTGCAAGTTGTATGATTAACAAAATTAATTTTCGCTTTTGAAAACAATGAGTTTGTATGAAGAACAGATATAAGAATTGTTTTGCTGGTAGTGAAGGGGATTTTTTGTTTAAGAGGTTTAAGTTTATTGCTAATGGGTTCCTCTGGCAGAGGAGCATTAATCAAGGATAAATCACGATTTCACTGTCCTATAATTATGCACAGACAACTCCCGACTAGATTCATTTCAAATAATGGATTTTTTAATATTGTCTATTTCCATAGGTCATGAGACTGCCATGCAGTCTATCAGAGAGGTGAAGAGAAATAAAATTGTACCGAACAGATCTCCTCATATCTGGGAGAATCCCTGTCATAAATTATATATTGTGACAGATCGAGATCGGAATAATGCCAGGACAAGAATAGGATCAGATTGGGAAAGAATCATCCAGGAAAATGGATGATTTGTCTCTAGTGATGAGAGAAAGAGTGGTTCAATTAGCATTGAGGCTGTAGGGTGAGTGATAGCACAGTCACAGACACAAACTACCATATAAAGCTTTCATCCCACGTTAAGTTCATAGTTTTATCTGAAAAAGTACAAGATTGCATGCAATATTGAATTTGTGGTCTCCAGTTTGTTATCTAGCATCACCTAACTAGAAATTGTTAGTGTTAGGTGTGTAGACTTGACTAAATATTGTTGGGTTACGTTACTAAATATTGTTGGGTTACGTTACTAAATATTGTTGGATATACAGTATTACGTTAAAAAGAGAATGTTGGGTATGTAGTGCTACAAACCTGATTTTGTTAGCTGTTTAGTACAGTATTACGTTAAAAAGAGAATGTTGGGTATGTAGTGCTACAAACCTGATTTTGTTAGCTGTTTAGTACAGTATTACCTTACTAGAGATTGTTGGGTATGTAGTGTTACACACCTGATTTTGTTAGCTGTTTAGTACAGTATTACCTTACTAGAGATTGTTGGGTATGTAGTGTTACACACCTGATTTTGTTAGCTGTTTAGTACAGTATTACCTTACTAGAGATTGTTGGGTATGTAGTGTTACACACCTGATTTTGTTAGCTGTTTAGTACAGTATTACCTTACTAGAGATTGTTGGGTATGTAGTGTTACACACCTGATTTTGTTAGCTGTTTAGTACAGTATTACCTTACTAGAGATTGTTGGGTATGTAGTGTTACACACCTGATTTTGTTAGCTGTTTAGTACAGTATTACCTTACTAGAGATTGTTGGGTATGTAGTGTTACACACCTGATTTTGTTAGCTGTTTAGTACAGTATTACCTTACTAGAGACTGTTGGGTATGTAGTGTTACACACCTGATTTTGTTAGCTGTTTAGTACAGTATTACCTTACTAGAGATTGTTGGGTATGTAGTGTTACACACCTGATTTTGTTAGCTGTTTAGTACAGTATTACCTTACTAGAGACTGTTGGGTATGTAGTGTTACACACCTGATTTTGTTAGCTGTTTAGTACAGTATTACCTTACTAGAGACTGTTGGGTATGTAGTGTTACACACCTGATTTTGTTAGCTGTTTAGTACAGTATTACCTTACTAGAGACTGTTGGGTATGTAGTGTTACACACCTGATTTTGTTAGCTGTTTAGTACAGTATTACCTTACTAGAGACTGTTGGGTATGTAGTGTTACACACCTGATTTTGTTAGCTGTTTAGTACAGTATTACCTTACTAGAGACTGTTGGGTATGTAGTGTTACACACCTGATTTTGTTAGCTGTTTAGTACAGTATTACCTTACTAGAGACTGTTGGGTATGTAGTGTTACACACCTGATTTTGTTAGCTGTTTAGTACAGTATTACCTTACTAGAGACTGTTACCTGTCACTTTTAATTTTTATAGATTTATCATTTTGTGAAAACCTTGAAAATAGCAATGCTCTGATAATTACCCTGTATGCAGGAAGTTCAATAGTAAGAAGGTGAACTACTGAAACTCCCCACACAGTCTAAGTACAATATCTAGGATCGAGGCATCGTTGGATTATTTAAAACATATTTTATTTGTTTATATAAGTAAATCTCACTATACTCACAGGGACAGAGTAACCAAATATATTAGTGATTTAAGTTTGGCAAATGCCTTTCAACTCCGAGTGATTTAATAAAATATATGATATATTAACTAAGAAATTATTTCAAAGATAGGTGTTATGTTGGCCACCTCTGAAAAGTTTAGCTCAAGCAATCTGTAAGAACCTGAAAATAAGTTTTATGGTAGGAACGTGGAGGTGAGCAGGTTCGTAGAATCGCGTACATTCTAGGTTTATCACCGATACAAATATTGTCATTATTTTTTTGTTTTGCGGTGATAGATTATCAGTGTTACATCTTTATCTTACGACTCAGAAATAGGATATTATTCACTATCTTTGTTCCTGTTTTTAATCTATCACATAGCATAATTCTCATTTTCAATTTCCAGTTTTTCATTTAACCAGCAACACAATTTCCAGCTTTCCAAGTTATCAAATATCATTTAACTTTGCCAGTAAACACAGAAAACGTAATGTATTTGAGATTATTTCCGTGTTTCATCTGCCCGTTCAGGTAATAATCTTTAATAAACAGGTTCTGTCATTATCTATAACTGCTATACCTACCACCAGGCTATCTCCGCGAGATATTACATGTATACTGCTATCCTCCTTGACGTCTGCAAGTCATTAATCTACCTTAGTCATCCCTAACAATATCAGCCTGAATGACTACATTGCCTAGTCTCCAGACACGGGATTTAGGGGATTACAATCTTAATTTCTTTGTTCATTTCCATTTTCCATTAAAACACACAACATGATGACCTGCAAAATATTTTCATTTTAATAAAAACGGATTCATTTCTGATATTTCATATCTCTTTATAGCTGTGCTGTCCTCTGAGGATGTTAATTTCCTGGCATTCCAAATCAATTTTGCTATAGAAAATGTTTATTTTCTTTATCTCGGTGGCTCTATGTTGCTAAGTACCTAAGTTATAGCCCAGGTTGGTCTTTTTCTGTTGTGACAATAGTAAAACCTATTAGGAAATGTAGTTGTATCAATCCTTGGAGAATTCAGAAAATGATTTTCATTACAGCGAATGAAATGAGCGAACAATATTATTGCATTGAGGTAACAGTAAATCTGTTTCACTTTGTCATTTTCATTTACTTCAGTAATGGAGGTCATCTGTAGCAGTGCTCCGATCCTGACCTGGATCTGATACGATGAAGGCAGTAATATGTCTAATGTCATTTTGAATGTGGTCTGCATTATACATGATATTTTATTATTACAATTGCCGTTGGGAGGGGTACATTTTATTTATCACACAATCAGGATTCCATTTCATTCTGGGAATTATGGACTTCACGTGGTTTTCATTGCAATAACGCTGATATTGCACCAGAGAATGTTATATCATTCCGAAAATTCCCCATTTAAAGTACATTATTGTTTATACACTTTTCTGTATTTATTCAAATGGAAATGGATGGGGCGTGCAATTTAGACAAGAAAATCTCACATAAAAATACAACAATTTACAGCAGTAATTCTATAAAAACTACCCTGAAGATAGGGACAAGTGTTAATAGGTTCTCGTATTACAGAAATCACAATATCCTCCTCGGCTACAGCTGCTGGCCCTCAGCTCCCTCTAATCAATAGCTCTCCGCAGCCTCCCCTTTAACAGGAGACATAAACATGCACCTGTAGCCCTGCCTCCCGCACAGCTCAACACACTGGGATTCTCCTACTGCTTCACTCAAGAGCAGACAACTCAAACTTGTCCAGAATCACAGGAGATTACATTTTATATCTATGGAGTTATGGTGATATATAAAAATGTTAAACCTGCACCTGCAATACAGTTTGTTGGCTCAAAATTGGTGATGTTTTTAGACATTTCCATTGTAGAAGGAGAGAAATTGCTGATCAGTCATACAGCTGTATCAAATGTGTCCTTGGGGCAAGATGGGAGGGGAGACAACTCTTTAGCTTTACAATATTCACATACCTGATCTAGAGAGCAGATAACCTCATAAAATTTGCAATATTATAGCATGCAATTTATTATATTTCATACAGGTGCAACATTCACAGCAAAAAAGGCAATGGTTGATCCGATACGATCTTCACAATACTTTCTGAGGATTGAAATGCTACACTTACTCCACCTACATGCATGGAGTTGAAATTCTACTTTCTACAGTAAGGAGAGAGCACTCTAGTATGTCCAGATTATACAAAATCTTAATCCCTAAATTAAATGTTAGATTTTCTTTTCCATTGACAAGGATCAGCCTAAGATTGAGGGAGGAAGGTGATAACACTGATGCATGAAGTAATGATTAGCCACACAGGTGTAACCAGACACCCATACAGGTGAACTACAGGTAAACAAAGTTTACCATTACAGCTAGCACTAATAATACACTGGCATTCAGGGGGCAATACTGAACACAGCTGAAATTTAATGAACCTTGAAGGTCTATGTGGAATTCTTGAAATGCGTATAACACAATTGAATCATTTCCTTGTATTGGGTGCAGACAAGCTAACCGTGATGAGTCCAGAGCCACTCCTGTGTAACAGAAAATGGAGACAGACCTTACTACTTCCAAATTTGATGTTGCTACTGTTTAATGATTTTGAATGATATATAATTACCAGATAATCTATACAAAGCATTTCTGTGGCTACTCTATTCCATTCCCTTTTTACCTTATATACACATGTGCCTTTTTGTCCTATCATAAAATTTGCATTTTTCATAAGGTATAGAAAAAGCTTGTTAAAATCAGAGAAAAATTTCACCGAAGTGATATAACCGGAATAAGTTTCTCAGCACAAATAAATAAATAAATAAAAATCCTGATTACAATCCAGTGATGAATGAATATGATGTCTGGGGAACTCATGATGATCAGTGCTCAAGATTTGTATCTAAATGTTGAGGAATGCTCTGAACATTGTTTACAGTCATCTACAATCTGTAGCCAGTCAAATACATTCATCTTCAATCTACTGTAAGTCATATGGTTTTGCATCTGAAAAGGATATTTGGTTTTCATCTCTGAACAACACATGATTAAAAAACTTTCATCAACAAACAAGAAACTTCCATGCCATTCCCGAAATGATAAGGCCAATCCATCCTGTCTGCCGTGAAAACAGATTTCATCAGAAATATCAAATATAAGAATTCTTTAAAAGTATTTCAATCAAGAATGTTGGGATTATCTTCCTACATTTCCTCTTGATCCACACAAGTATTTTATCCAACCAAAATCCTTTATGGAAAGTAAACCCTGGCCAACTGACTGTTTCCTCAGAGTCTTATGTTTGATTGTAACTCTGTAGGAAGAATAAAATTTATCTACAAACTTGTATGATATTATATAAAGACGAAGTCATACAGAATCTGTAAAATGGATTTAATAATCAACATATGAAAGGCTTAGATCCAGCACATATAGACTGTAAGAAATCTAGGTGGTCCTATCTCAAGGCTCAAGATATAAAGATTACCTTCATTTCTCTTCACTACCTCCTTCACTCTTTTTAAGTAATAAGACGTCTGTTGCTCCCCCCCCCCCCCCCCCCGCCATACATTTTTACGTCAACACATATCTTGATTTAATTTTTTGGATTGTGTGGTGTTCGTCTTTGTTCCCGTCTATTAGTACACCCGTCCCAAGTGAAATCCCAACATCACAGCATTTCATCTTCCATCTTTCCGTATTTTTGGGACCTGTTTGATAATTGCTGTTTCCATCGTAGGTTTCCTGGGCCGATCCCAATCACAAGTGTATCTGATTATAATAGTCTTAACTCCAATATAACACACAATGTAGCTTCATTCTCAGTGTTTCTCAGCTTATCACAGACTGGGTCAAAATTCACCTTCTATTCTTTATAGTTTGTTTATCTGATGGGATTGTCTCCTTTGGGTAATACATATTCATAAATCGTATGTGTTATTCACTTTCAACTCCGATCCTTGGAGAATATGTTAATACCACAATCTGCCAATCCAAACTTACCTGTACCCATATATAATTCAGGATACATGATTTTTAATAACATTTACAAAAGGATTTTTCAATAATAATGTTAGCCAAATACATATCAAAAATTAAAAAAAAATGTTTAGCATGTTCTAAATGTTTGTGAATATTTTCTACATTAGTAATTACATGTTTTTGTAATGTGTTGGTGATATAACTAAATTGGCATTTTTATAAAGAAAGAAACCTACAATAATACTGACTCAGTGTGTTTGATGATAGAGAAATAAATGATAATATGTATTAAAATGACCATTCAAATTAATTATTAACATTATTTTGCCATACTCTTCATATTTGAATCCTTTTCTCTATACAAGACAGAAAAATTGCAACCTAAAAGCTAATGGGAAAGATCTGAAGATATTTTATTATTCAATTTATTTCCTCTGAATATAAAGATTTGAAGAACACAATTACTGCAGATATAATTTTATAAAAACATTGTAATAGAATGTTAAATTAAATAACGTAAAACATATTGCAATAAAAGTATAGAAAATTAATGTTTCCTTTGTGCTGACGATTTATTCTCCCTTCAGCTCGTAAAATACCAACACATGTAAGAATCAATTATCTTTTTGAATATATATATCTCATAGCTAGGCGGCCCAAACATCAATTACAGATCACTTTCATCATGAAACCAGGAACGTTTGAAAAAATCCTTATTGACATACATTAGTTACTATTTGTTTCATTACACAGGTGAAGTCCATCAAACCTGTTCTAAGATGTACAATTTCTTAAAGGTGGTATTTTATTACCTGATGTAGGTCTGATGACTTCGCTCGTTTTGAAATATCGTTTATGACAATTTACACACTCCTTTTTCTATCCTACTAACAGATAACGTAACCAGTGCAAGGCTATCTCCAGATGTGACTGATAAAGAGTAAGACGGAATATAAGTTGAGTGCAGTAATGAATTTGTATAGAATCAGAATGGTCTAACCCTTCACATTCCAATCCCACACAAACTCAGGCTGTCAGGCTTATATTGAAACCTAATCATTAAAAGGTTATTAGCTAGATTTATTGAGAGAAAAAATAAATGCAACAAAATTATGTAGTTTCTTAGAACTATATAGTACTGAATTAACCTCATTTAATTTCCATGCATGCCTGCATTTATATATTAATAGAAATTCCATACCAGAAAATTTATTGCTGCAAGAATTAATTATTTTTATCAAATTTCAATGGAATGGTTGTTTTTTTGCAAACCCTGGGAAACAGAGAAATAATAGAATTAATTCTAGAAAAAAATATTTGTTTTCCTGCGTTGCCTATTTTTCAAATTACTTGAAGCACAAAATTGATTGGAACATGGTTTGCAGCAAATACCGTACCGTGTCTGATCAGAATCAAGCACATTACTTACACGCGAGTGATTCATTGTTTCAAGAAAAACATGTTGAAATATGTTATATTCCAACGATTACTGTGCATCGACTAACAAATCCGGTATTGACTTGGAAAACCTGTATGAATGGATCCGTTTTTGACATAGATGCACACAGATTAAGTGTAATTTTTATACTTCATCTACTTCCTATAAGACATAAATAGTTAAGTAATTGTTGCTGTTCAGCAGTATTTTCTGACGGCTCAAAATTAAAATGAATGGGTGAATGTTTAAATCTACTCCTAACAATTGTGACTTCACCTCCCCGTAAACAGGTATTTTAGGTGACCTCAATGTTGAAGCGTCATGGCTATTACATTGGAACAAGCAGGAGACCAATGGATCAAACGCATAGTCACCCACACTTCCCATTGTTAACATCCACTTATAACTTAACATATAGAAAATTAATTAAGTGTATATTTAGATAAAAAGAATCTATCAATTTCTTGATGTTTTTAATTGAATTAATGTAAAGTTCCCCATTACATTAAAATATCTGGACTACTCATGACTGACAACATGGACTATATGGTCTGACAACTCATGACTGACTATTGTCAGTCATGGACTATATGGTCTGACTTCTCATGACTGACTACTCATGACTGACTATTGTCAGACATGGACTATACGGTCTGACAACTCATGACTGACTATTGTCAGTCATGGACTATATGGTCTGACTACTCATGACTGACTACTCATGACTGACTATTGTCAGACATGGACTATACGGTCTGACAACTCATGACTGACTATTGTCAGTCATGGACTATATGGTCTGACTACTCATGACTGACTACTCATGACTGACTATTGTCAGACATGGACTATACGGTCTGACAACTCATGACTGACTATTGTCAGTCATGGACTATATGGTCTAAGGCCTGAGGTGGGCTATTCCTAGTCACAATAGTGTATCTGACCTGTGAAGACCTGAGGTGAGCTAGTCCTAGTCACAATAGTGTATCTGACCCGGGGAGACCTGAGGTGGGCTAGTCCTAGTAACAATAGTGTATCTGACCTGGGGAGCCCTGAGGTGGGCTAGTCCTAGTCACAATAGGGTATCTGACCTGGGGAGACCTGAGGTGGGCTAGACCTAGTCACAATAGTGTATCTGACCTGGGGAGCCCTGAGGTGGGCTAGTCCTAGTCACAATAGTGAATCTGACCTGTGAAGACCTGAGGTGGGCTAGTCCTAGTCACAATAGTGTATCTGACATGGGGAGACCTGAGGTGGGCTAGTCCTAGGCACAATAGTGTATCTGACCTGGGGAGACCTGAGGTGGACTAGTCCTAGTCACAATAGTGTATCTGACATGGGGAGACCTGAGGTGGGCTAGTCCTAGGCACAATAGTGTATCTGACCTGGGGAGACCTGAGGTGGGCTAGACCTAGTCACAATAGTGTATCTGACCTGGGGAGCCCTGAGGTGGGCTAGTCCTAGTCACAATAGTGTATCTGACCTGTGAAGACCTGAGGTGGGCTAGTCCTAGTCACAATAGTGAATCTGACCTGGGGAGACCTGAGGTGGGCTAGTCCTAGTCACAATAGTGTATCTGACCTGGGGAGACCTGAGGTGGGCTAGCCACAGTCAAAATGGACCACCTAACCTGAAAAGACCTGGGGAGACCTGAGGTTGACTAGTCACAGTAACAAAAGGCTATCTGACACAGGGAGACCAGAGGTGGGCTAGTCACAGTAACAATTGGCTATCTGACCTGGGGAGACCTGAGGTGGGCTAGTTACAGTAACAATAGGCTATCTGACCCCAGGAGACCAGAGGTTGGGTAGTCCTTGTTACTATACGCTATCTGAGGTGGACTAGTCACAGTAACAATAGGCTATCTGACCCCAGGAGACCTGAGGTTGGGTAGTCCTTGTTACTATACGCTATCTGAGGTGGACTAGTCACAGTCACTACAGGCTATAAAACTATCTAACCTGGGGAGACCTCAGGCAGGGTACATATGTTATACGGGTAAGAGAGTAAATCAAATATCACTATTATTACAACCTTTGTTAGAATTTACCTTGATGATAGAAATTCCCCAATCTTTCTACAGAATGCTAAAATGAAATGTGACCCATCTAATAGATGTTTTATTTCCTCTCTCCACATCCTGTATCATGGTTTGGTTGTTTATCTTACAGTTTACTTGGATTGATAAGTTTAGGGCGGTACAGGTGAACATTATATCTACCTGGATTTTTTTTCTTTTTAGGTGACTTCTCCCTCTAATTACAGGTAATAAAGGGCTGGACGATATACTCCTACCAGTGGCCACAGATGGAGCCCTACAGTAAACTTGGCACACTCTATTGAACTCAACAGAACAGATGAAAATTTTATTAAAATTACCAATCAGTTTAAAATACTTAAACATTTTTCATACCTCATCATTGTGCTTTGGTAGTACAGGGCCTTGACATGCTCTGTTATATGGCATTCTGTTAAAACCACACTTTATGACTTTTCCTCTATTCAACTAATATCAATATATATTGATTTTTCTACGTAGGAAAGAGAAAAATTAACGTTCTATCTCCTACTCCCATAATGACATCATCTGTTGGTAATATTGCTTGACGCGCCAGCGACATGTAATTTTAAAATCACAACTGTTATCGAATGGCTGTGCCCTATCTGTTGATGACAGATTTTTCAGCGTATATACCTTGTTGTTCTACGCTCTTTCTTATCCATTAAAAAGATCAATATCCATATTTTATACAAGATGTTGGCAGCGTACGAAACAGATAATCGTATTTAAAGAGAACCAGAGTCAAACAGGTAGAAAAAGCAAGAAATATCAATTTGTATTCATTTAATCCTCACCGAGTTCTGATTTCTTAGATCGTGTTCCATGACCAATCCAGCTGGTGAATTATGGATGCTTAAATAACAGGGCTGCCATTCCGCTTAATGATCCCCATTGAACATTTCTCCACCATTCACACTAGCATGTGTTTTTGGACTTCACCAGAGCGCAAAATGTTCATGGGAATGAAATATTGGAAACTTGAATCATATTCCACTGCGATACCCTAGTCAGTGATAATACCTGAACATTTTTTGAACAAAAGTCGTGTAATTTGGATGAATGAAAATGATAGGTGGGTGAGCCAGTGCTGAGTCAATCGGCCATGAACCGCAATCGGAATTATTGCACTAATGACCTCTGGATCACAAGGAAGAAATATTCCTGATCTTGTTTCAATGCATTTTATGACACACACATTGATAGCGAGTTTAGGGGTCAGTGGCGGCCAGGAATACTGTCCCCGTTTGAAATGCAAGTGCAGCTCTGCTGTATGTCTGCTACCCAACCCCCTTGTGATAAGGCCTGCTCAAGTAGCTGGTGATATACACTTGTCAATATATCATTCCCATGTGCTGTGGGGGTCAAGCTGGGTTAAAAAACATGTTCCATTCATAAAAAAAAGCCTGACTCCCTTGTAGTAAATGTGTAAAAACCTCATGAATGAAAACTGATCCTCGATCACCCTGGTGGTATAATGGAATTGGCCACCAGTAACACCATAATATGGTGTATGGGGTCAATTCTCACTTGTTGGAATATCTTCTTTTTTTTCAATTTTACATATGTTAGGTAGAGGGTTATTCGGGGAAAAAATGGAAAACTTTTTGATTTCAGATGAATTGAGTTAATGTTTTACAAGAACAATCCATTCATAGTAAGAAATTGAGCAAATCCCAAATGAACTCCAATCAAAAACAGTGTGTGTTCACTCCATATAACACAGAAGCATTTGATTTATCCGACTTTACGCTTTTAAAGAAACTTATTCAAATGTCAGAAAATGACAGCTATCAAATAGGCTGATAATTCATAACATTGAGCTTGAGGTAAAATTGTACGGTCTAATGGGACATTAAAATGTATGGTCTAATGGGACATTAAAATTGTATGGTCTAATGGGACATTAAAATGTATGGTCTAATGGGACATTAAAATTGTATGGTCTAATGGGACATTAAAATTGTATTGTCTAATGGGACAGTAAATTGTATGGTCTAATGGGACATTAAAATTGTATGGTCTAATGGGACATTAAATTGTATGGTCTAATGGGACATTAAAATTGTATGGTCTAATGAGGTAAAATTGTATGGTCTAATGGGACATTAAAATGTATGGTCTAATGGGACATAAAATGTATGGTCTAATGGGACATTAAAATGTATGGTCTAATGGGACATTAAAATTGTACGGTCTAATGGGACATTAAAATGTACCTTTGAGGTAACAAGTACCCTGTTATGTTTAAATTTCGTGATCTGCTGTAGTAAGATGAATAATTACAAAGGATTTGTTCCCTGATGAAGTGAAGAATGAACTCACTAACACTTAATTGCCTACTGAATGATCAACAATGTTTCTGGGATTGACCAAACGTTAGAACACACGACATAAGAAAAGCATTTTCTAGAAACAGCTTGTTTGCCTTAAAGCAGATTCATCAATGAAAAGGTTCTAAACACATGACCAGATTTAATTGGGAAGTTATACACAACATCATTGGTTTTACGTAATCACGTTACCATGGAGATGCACTAGAGATTAAAAAAAAATGAAATTACATTTCATGATCTAAAAAAATTCTTGAAATAATTCTGCTCTTTACATGGTTGTATTTTGTTTAATTTTGAAAATGCAATTAAAAACGAAATTAATATTATCCATTTGTTCTGAAACTCTGATTTCAGAGATATTGTATTAACATCTGTAGATTTTATTTCTAGCTCCTGGACTTGTCCCTACAACTGACTTTATAAATTTAATTAAAATAACTACATTTTTTGTATAGCATTTGTACAGTTCTATTTTATTCCAGTGTGTCCTTCAAACAATGATATAAGAACAGATCTTAAACAGGCTCCAGTCGGAGTACGCCAGTGGCGTAGCAGATAATCATCACACTACATTGCAAGAAAGGTTAACAGACTTAGCTTAATTAGCAGAAGAAAAACGAAAAAAATATTTATTTCAAGAGTTAGGAAAAACACTAAAAAAACCTGAACTAAATTGAAGGAACCAAATTGTGCTGATTAATTAAATCTCACCTGACAGATAAGATTTACTTTCTCGATGTTAAAAACATATTTCTGCTTTAGAAAAATTCACTTGTGTTAAAACCAAAATTCAACTTAAACTTTTCCATTTCATTATCACAAATCAGCTTCAATTCAATTTAATGCAAAGCTGGAGAAAATGACCTTACAAAAATCACTACAGAAAACAACACAACACAGTTGGTACTAATGTAATTATGTGTCAACATCAAGGGATTTCTGTACCTTTTTCATAGCTAAGCTGCCTTTCGTGGTGGCGGGCGTTTTCTGCTGCGACCTTGAGTAGTCCTTGGATGTTGAGGAGGAGAGTCTCTATGGAGGAAATCGAGGGTGTCTCTCCGTTCAGGAGTTCTGTAGGAAAGGGTGCGGCAGGGGCCGTGTGTTTCTCCCCAATATCACTGTTGTTGCCCGACTCACTTGGGTCCATACTGTCATCCAAGTCTACAGAAAGAAAAGTAGTTCTTTAATTCAAGGCTATATTACCAATTTCTGTTAACTATATGTTTTTACGAATGTCTTAAACGTTCTTAATGAGGTTTTTATATTAAAACTTAAAATTTAGGAAATCTGAAAATTAAAATTTGGGAAATCACAATTTAATCTATATTATTTCTTCAAAAAATTAAAAATTGAAAATGAAAATCAAGTCATTTGTTGTGAAGTTTTGATGTATGTATTTATGTAGAATTCTAATCCAAATGATTTTGCTGAAATCTTTGAAGTTCTACATTGGTATCTGGTTCATTTCAATCCATGCTGGCTTTCAAATCAAACTTATCTATATCAATTTGCTGTCATAATTGGTAGTTAAGCCATAAATAATTATCATTTCATGTTCTTTATAGAAAATACTCCCAAGCCATCAAATGTAATGGACAGGGCCATAATACTAAACTAAAACCAAAAAAACATTGCCCAGGTTCACAGCATCCATTCAGACATTTTAATGCTAATATGATTTTATCCTAGATCTCTGCAATAAATTTGAGATCTGCTAGGAAACTTGACATTAGGACTAACTAGTGGTTATCTTTGTAAGAGGATGTAAATTATATTAAAACAAGAACTGAGCAAGGCATAAATGCATATCTGTGAAGTCCCATCTCCCAAAACTTTCATCTCCGACACTCCCTACATCCCGCAGGAAACCCCCACTGCCAAACGCCTCAGCAAATCTTTTTAATACAATTACCCTGTCTCATTTATTGAGTAAATCTATAACATATCAATGATAATGATGGATGTGATCCTACACACCTTAATGTGTAGCCGACCTTCAACCCCAAAAATCATTATATCAATTTAAAATGTGATGCCATTCTCTGGTTTTATTTCTTTTCTCTATCTTCTTCACTGTGAAGATTTGGAGGCTGTGATTATCTGGGCTATAAAAATACCACAAATTTAAACCTGAAATACACTTATAATATTTTCAAACCTACATTTGAAAGGAGGGATGCAGTCTGCTGGCAATAAAATGTATATCAAACTATAAAATTTGTTTTCTCAAGAGTTTAGGCACCAGGAATCAAAAATAATTTCTCAGCAGGTCTTCAGAAATAATGGATTTAATGTATCGTTAGCGTGCAGCTATCATCTACAGAAGTATGAAATAGCCATGATCGTCAAATATGGAGAAACAGATAAAAACTGATTTTTACAAGTTTAAGCTGCATTTCCCTATTGTCCTGACAAATATTACATACGTGTAGTTTACATTCTCTAGAAAACTGTATAATATTGGGCTATCTGTTATTTTCTTGGCAACAAATTGTCAGTTAGGGGATGAACTAAGCGCTTTACAGCTGTCGTGAATTTTGGTCTGAAAATGATCAGCCCAGCATCAGGTAGAACACACTATATATGTCTACACACATCTGGTAAATTGACAATATCATACCAACTACTACTGATGTCTTACAGTTCCTTCTATCAATTAACAGGGTCTACCTATTGACCTTCCTGCCTGGCAGCCGTGAAAGAGGAAAAGGCAAAGTCACAGGAAACGGCCATAAAAACTCAACTCAGAACAGACCAAATCATTAAATTTTTATATTTGTTACAAAAGAAGAGAATGGGAAGGGTTGACGCGCTTGGGTAAAAAATATTAACCGCCTTGACGATCTATACTGAAAATTGTTCATCCGATTCATTATACCACCCAAGAGATGTTGTTTCTATGTAAAATAGTTAATAATTCATCTGGTACCTATCTGATGTCCCCTTATAAAGGAAACAGTTTACTGTTGAACTATTCAAGTACAATTGACTTTGTAAGTTGGCAGCCATTCTTTTAAATTCTCTGATCTGAGCCGTCATTGTCGGACAACAAAGAAAAGCTTTAAGCAAACCAGACAATCTTATGATATAATCCTTACACTCTCCACTAGTCAAATGACAAAGACAGATATCGACAAACAATTAATTATTGAAACAAACATTAAAAGTACCAGCAAGATCTCAGTAGATAACTTCTGCCGATGATACACCAGATTACTACCTCTGTACCTGAAGAGCTGACATAGAACAGTCCTGATATATTGATGTAACAATCCATTTCAGTTTTGTAGGTAGGATGGAATAATGTGGTTATCAACGTTTGATTTACTGGGATAAAAATGACAAATTTAATGTGTATTGAAAAAAGTACTTGTTTCTTAATGGACTCATATTCCATCCAAGACAAGATCAATCACCGGCTTGCTATCTCCCTGCCAACAGGTATATTCTACTTTCCAAAGACAAAAGAGTTCCAATAAAAATCTTAATGGCTGAAGCAAGAAAGCACTTGAGACTAATAAGCATAACCATTAACACTTAACACAGTAACCCTGGACTGGCCGACACTACCGGGGGACTCATGGAAGGCAAGCATTTAAACAAGGTCAGAGCAAAAGCATTTATACTTTTTTTTTCCACCAAGAAAAACATTACATGAAGGGTTTTTGCTTTAAAAAATTTCAATATTGAAATCTGGTCACAGCAATAAGCAAAACAATTAAAAAAAATCAAGTTTTATTTTTTGAGAATCAAAATTATGACTACCTGGTATCAATACACATTGAAAATAAACCTGTAAGGTTTGGCTTGGAAAGTCTTTTAACAAACATGTTAACCATAGATATACAGTAAAACTTCCATCAATATAAGGTAACACCCTTTTTTTTAATTTGCCATTTCACATACTGTCCACATATGTCAAGGTCCCCTTTTCTCCTTTTCTTTAGAGATCCTTTATATATTTTCCCCAAGTGTATTGCCAAACTTCTTTATAATGCCAAAATTTCTCTAGACAAATGGTGGCAGTATGACAAGGTTTTACTGTACAAAATATAAATATAAAATAAAGGCATATGGAAAGTCAAGACTAACATGTTAAATACTCATACATGTTAAGTTATACATGTAAAGACACTTTTACGGTCTAGACAAAGTATGGGAATTTTCATCTGTAGGCTGAGTTTAATATATTTTTTTTTTAAATCACCACAAATTTAATGATTTAGGACTTATACAAAATTTAACAAATATCTGGAAAAAAACTCAGAAGGCTGTTATCACTGCTCATAAAATAGTTGTCATATTGTGTTTGGTATTACCATACATTAATTGTACATTTATTATTCATCCTGCTACGACAGTGTCTTTATACTTCTCAGAGATCCTGCGGCTTCTCTCCCCATTACCCAATGCATTATTACAGCCAATCTGGAATTATCAAATTTGCCGTCACATTGCTGAGACAATTTTCAGGACATTAGGCGGTTATGAGAGTCCCACAGAAATGTCGGCTGAAATTGAATTTCCAGCTGAGATCATCAGGATGCTTTCTCCTCTAACAGACTAATTCTTCCATTGTTTTAACAAATTTATAAGATTCTTCATTCATATTAGGTCTTTTTTAATGACACAAGAAAAGCCAACGAGGACTAACATTAAACGTGACAGGTCTTTTTTTATTAGTTCCACAGAGTCCGTGATAGAGACCTGCTATTGTACTTTGTTCATCTAGTACTCGTTAAGGTAGAGTACAGCTGAGGGGTATTTATATGAGGCTGGTGTCTTAAAAGTCCGTATCAAATTCTACAATAATACTAAACTGATACAACAAACAGAGCATATGACAAGAAAATCAAATTTAATAATGAAAGTTTTAGTCATCAGAATGAGGCATACTGGAGATATCCTCAATTTTTAAAATATATTTTCTGATCCACAGATAAAATTGTTCATTCTCAGTCTATAGAAAGTACAAATTAATTTTCTATTTTTAATTATAACTCATAGTTGTTACCTTTATTAGAATCTTAAAATATTGGACATTTGATACTTTTCAGTTTTAATTTTCTTGCAAAATTATAATATCAATGTTATAAAGATTGATATACTTTAATAAAAAACTTTGGTATACATTTCATTTATGAGATATTGTATACCACTATTTTAGTTACCAACGTGACATTTTCTTCTGTTACACTATAACCAGCCAGGTTTAGAGCTGATGTATAAATTACACACTGGCTTTATGAAATATTACATATATATACAAAACATTGGAAGTCCTGATCTATAATTTACCTGTAATTAATCAATAAGACTAGTGAAGTAGAAGTTCTGTTCAGACTAAAAGCCAGGTGAACATTCAGCCACTAATTTCATGTGGTAAGCACTGAGGTGAACAAATCTACTCCTACCGTAATTAACACTCACTGATTCAGATATTAATTCTCGTCAAGAACAGAACTGAACTTCAGATCATGATTATTTAATACTCAACATGAAAATGATACCAGCTTATTAGTCATAAAGAAAATAATGGACAACTAATGAAAAATGCTAACTCAACTCCTATAACCATGGCTGGAAAAACAGTGTTCGGACGCAACAGGGACGCAACGCAACCATTAAAACCAAACAACTACAAAGGCACACAACCTGGCCAGCTTTAATCAAAGAAAACACGATCAGCCATGAAAATAGTTACAAATTAACGACAAATACCCTGTTATGACAGAGCAGGAGATTGTTCAAGCTGATGCTGTAAATGCCAGATGTGCTGGCCTGAAAGAAGGTCTAATAGGACTGGCCATTACAAGTCTGTCCCACTGTGTTACTACACCACCAACCACAGCCAAATCAAATGCTTAATTTTCTCTTTTCAATAAAATTTGTAATAAGGAGAAGATTTTTTATTTTGTGCTATAATAACGGTAGCAGTTGTCCTTATATTTTATTTATACATGGCTGAGATCATAGAGCATTCCAGCTCCAGCCTCGTGCTAGTGCACCCCTGGTCTTACAAGCTTATATTCTTAATGAGAATGGGAGATTATTGCAAAAATGGTAACTACATTTATAGGCCATTTACGAGAGGACTTGCCAAGGGAGATTACTTGCTGCAAGTCTTTGGGGTAGAAGTTTTAGTCATTGTACCATATACACTTAAACATCTAATCTCTCTGACTGCAGGAACAAAAGGAGGAGGGCTAAGACAAATGGATGATACAAAGAATAACTGTCAAGAGATTTCCCAAGGATTTTGTTATCAGAAAGAAGGCAAAAGATTTAACAGTATTGATGCATATAGAAACATCACTTGTTTGTGAGAAGAAATATTTCAACATTTTAAAATAAAAAAAAATCATGGTCATAATCAATTTTTATATTTTTCTATAAAATATTTGATATGGAAAATATACTGACATGAAAAAGTAATTTTGGTTTTTTATTTAGGGTTATTTCTTTCAGGAACATTGTATTTTATATTTTCAAATTTGTGAAAGCCAATTCAAGACATCTTTAGTATGACATTTGAACAAGAATTTGAAATGAAAGAAATAAAATAGTCTACATCTTTTGTTTATTGACAATAGATTATTAAAATTGTTTTAAATAAAAACATAATTTTGCGTTAATATTTTTTTTATTATGGTTTATGTCACCAAAACCTATTTGTCTTCCTAAGGAACAGAACTCCTAGTTGTCAGCTGTCATCTCCTGATAAATATGATAGACGTGAACTTACCGTCATCTCTCTCATCAGACAGTCTGTCGTCCTCATCATCATCGTCATCACTCTTTCCATTGGAGAACCTGTTGCTGAGGTCCTTAGTGTGTCCGTTGATGTGTAGGTTCAGAGGTTTGTTGTCTACAATTAAATACAAATATCAAACACTACAGATCTCAGATTAGCCAAACTATTACCATCAACATCACTGACGAATCTGTGGCAATAAACAAAAATTGTAATACTGTGGACAAAAGTGTGATAGCTCAGAATCTATCAATAGATTATTTACTCAATTCTATTTTTCGAGTTTCAAAATGGCAGCTTGGATTAGAAGTATAATCTGAATTTTTCAGACATATTTTTAATTTTTGAAACAGACGTTGCAATTGGAAGATGTCTGACAATTTCATATAAAACAATACTTTAATCCCAAAAATGTGTAAATCATTTTAAATGGATAAAATTTATAACAGTAACAAAAGGAAATTATTTATGTATGACATTTCCTGTATTTGTAAATCTGTCTCATGAGAAAGATTTAATAGCCATGTTTAATGTTACGCCTTATTTCAACTTTTGACAGTAAGAACTCTCTCCACCTATACAAAAAACAAACACTAGCCACACTCCACTTCATCATCACGTTCCACATCTCTTATTGCTTCATAATCATCGTATATGAATTGAAAAAATGTACAATAATGACACGGCTTCGCTGTGCAGTGGGCCAGAAACAAAACTTCTCTTGGTCAGAGCTACAGGCTGTTCGCAGTAATTTTATTGTCGGCAAACTACACTTCTGGCTGTAATGCGCCTAATCGGCCATAGATATTTTTTCAAGGAAACAAAATCAGTAATTTGCACTCCATGCCCCTGAGATATGATACGGATTACAGTAATAATGTGAGTGACCCCTAAATATTTGGCAGGAAAATCAAATATCTGATTGATCTTGTTAGGTATTTCAAGCATAAAATGCAGTGTGATCAAAAACATTTTTATATCTTGACTTTTCCTAAAACTACTTTTAGTTTCAACATCTGAATTTAAATCAAAGTAAATTGTTAAGATAAATATATTGAAACAAGTATGAAAAAATAACAAAAATGAATTATTTTAAACTGTGGACTACAATCGGAGATAATCAGATTTGTAAAGCAATAATTTCGATTGCTTTCTGTACCAGCCTGGAACCACAGAGATCTAATCACAGAAAAATTAAAGGCTCTAACATCTTTTTATTTTACAATGATCATTAAAATCTTTTTCAAAACTCATTTGAAAATTATCATGAACATGAAACTATTTCCAAGTCAAGATGAACACTTGAATGGCCGACATATCTATACAAACTACGAAGCAAAGCTTTACTTTTATTGCAAATACCATTTATGCTTTACATGGGGTAGCCCATAAAATTTCTACAACTGCAAGCAATAAAAATAAACGACTCTACATTGAAGCACATTAGCAGAGGGAAAAAAGTAAATATTACTAAAGTGAGTGGTGAGGATGTAGTGAGGATGTAGTGAGGTAGCGTGGACGCTGCCAGCCCCATACGCAGAAGTCATCCCTTCCTCGCAGGAGTCGCTACTTATCAACCTTATCAAACATTCATTTGCACCAATTTGAGTCGGAGATAAGTGCCTCCATTTTGATGAGACCAGATGAGAATTTTCTAGATTCCAACATATCACTGCTAACCCTTCTTACTTGGGGATAAGCATGGCATGCTGAATACAAATTCTTTGGAATTCTGAATGAGAATAATTGTAGGGTTTTAGGCTGTGAAAACCTTACATTTCAGAAATGCTGCTATAATTGATAATTTGACAGATTTTAGGTGTATGATAGGAAATAGCCAGGAGCTAGCACTATGGGGTGTTTATGCCAACACTAGCAGACATTCTTTTATTGACAACGTAGAAAAGCCCTGATTCTGGTCTGATAACAATTAACACATTTACTCAGAACTGTTGCCATCATTGACAGTACAATATGACCATCACATCATCATTTGAAAAATATAGTTGTAAGCGCTAAAATGATAACAAAATTTCAACTGTGAAAGAAATTAGATTAATATTTCATAACTGTGATATCTCCTAATGGCCTCCAGTGAAGGGAAAATAGAAAACTTTCATCTGGACTTAAAAAAATATATTACAGATAAAAGGGCCACACTGTCTACACTGAACACCAATAGAACAAATAGTCTAGACAGGTAACAAGTTATGCAAGGTTCCAGATACATAGAAACACATCCAACCAGATCTAGTAAAAGGTATATAATACTGCGGGTTCTGTTTAGATGTATACAGGATGGGGAGGAGGAATAAAGACCGTCAGGGCAAGAAGGTAGGGAATAAGACTCATAAGTCACAGAATCATAAGAAACTTACTGTCATATTCTGAGTTGCGGTGCAGTCTCTCAGCATCATAGTGAGGAGACACACGACCCATCTTCATGGCAGCCTCCAGACGCTCATCTCTAGATCTGTAGATATGTAAGTAAAGCAGGTGTTATACAGGTAAATAAGGTGTTATCAAATAAGTGTATACAGGTAAATCAGGTGTTATTATCAGATTTATACAGGTAAATCAGGTGTTATTATTAGATGTATACAGGTAAATCAGTTGTTATGACTAGGTGTATACAGGTAAGTCAGGTGTAATTATTAGATGTACACAGGTAAATCAAGTGTTATTACTATGTGTTTACAGGTAAATAAGGTGTAATTATTAGATGTATACAGGTAAATAAGGCGTTATAGTCAGGTGTATACAGGTAAATCAGGCAATATCACAAGGTGTATACAGGTAAATCAGGTGTTATTAAATTACTAGGTGAATACAGGTAAATCAGGTAATATAACCAGGTGTATACATGTAAATCAAGTGTTATTACTAGGTGAATACAGGTAAATCAGGTGTTATAACCAGGTGTATATAGGTAAATCAGGTGTTATAACTAAGTGTATATAGGTAGATAGGTTAACATTTAGGCAGTGGTAACTTTTCGGGTGAGGCCCAGGTGTGTACACTGTCACCTGGTATGACATATATGTTGCTATGGTTACACAGGTAGAGAGCTTACTGGTAACAAGCTTAGTGATTCTACAGGTTATCAGTCAGCAAATAGAATGCATTAGTAACTTTTTCTAGCATGTAACAATAGATCAAGTTTATCTTCACTGTACCAAGCTGTATAGTACACAAACAGAAACAGTAACTGATATTTAAATATTGATTTAGAAATGTTTTCCTGAACTTTCATCAAAGCTACATTAAACGCTGTAATATCATGATTCATTATCGTTAGCTTTGTGACTTGATAAAAAATCATTCAAAAGAGTTCAAAACAATTAACAGTACTGTGAACTTGGTACAGTAGCAGTAATTACATCAATTACAGCCATTCAACACCTGCCAAATCTCTCCATAATGCCTCCTATTACCAAAGGTTACAAATTCTTTAATTGAATAAATATGTTTTCAGAAGTATTGATGAAAACCACCACTCTCTCAGAGAAAAAAATGAATCTGATATTGTGAGTTTCTGTTTCTTTTAATGTACAAATTCCTTTTGATTAATTTTTACGACATCAGACACAACTTAATTTTCCACAAGATACAAAAAATCGAGAGAATGACAAGCTGAAGAGGAAATCTGGAACTTTCATCATCAAACCAAGAAAAGGAAAAGCAGAAATCCCTAGAAACATCATGTGAACATCAATGAGTTCTTTAATACACTGCCATCAAACAGAGTCTACACTGAAAAGGCACAACTGCCTCTTCATGTGGGATTCTGAACGTTTCATTAAAATGGTGAGAGACTAATGAGAAGACGTATAAACACAATATTTCCCTTTATCGCAATCTGATTCCAATAAGAATTAAAGTGAAATGCACACCCAGTTATTCTGGGTGTAAAATACTGCTACTCAACATATCGTTTAACATCACAAAACTCGGCTTTCTTTTGCTGTATGTATTAATGGCTGCCAGCAAAAAAGCTTAATATTTTCATGAGGGCACATCCAAAACATTTCTCAAAGATCATACAATTCTCCTTCCTTTTTTTCTCCGACTTTCATTACTTGGCAATGCCATTCAAAAATATTTTAGAGTCAAGATGCCTAATTAATATTTCTGCTTAAATTCCAAGAGGAATACATATATAGAGAAGAGTTGTATACAAATATTCTGTTGACTGTTAGTAGCACTGTCAAGCAGTTGGTCATTACAGATAAAAGGCCGTCCTACAGAACATTGTGTGGGTTGACTTTCCCCTCACAAGTGTGTCGCAAAGAGACATCAGACTGCCTTTTATCTAAACGAAACATTTTTTCCTTGATAATGCTCCCCAACGACTGTTCAGAGAATCATGCGAAGTGCTATTTATGCATAGCAGTCAAGATCTGTTGTGTTTGTTACCACGACCAGAGTGGTCTCCCTTTGGTATGTTTTCAAATATGCTTGAATGCTTCAGGAATTTGTTTGCTCAAATTCAATCAGTCCTACTCCATTGAATTAAACAGTTTCAATTGTGGCATTTTATGCATTTTTTTTTTAAAATAGGAGTCATTGTAAGTATTTGTAGAAATTATTAGATTTTGCTGTGTATTTGAAAGGTAGGAAAGTACATAACAGCAGAGAGTTGATGAACTTTGGGTATCTTAAATATTCATTAACGACAGTGACTCATAATTCAACAATTAATTAACTCATAATTCAACAATTAATTAACTCATAATTCAAAAATTTAAAGGTGCTTGTATTTTTATCACATTTTCTCATATACTTAATAACTGATAGAAAACATAAGGTTATATTTTATCAGATATCTTTTTCTGCAATTTATATATTATCTCAGAAAAGAAAAAATGCTAAAGATGTATGACTGATGGGTATATATCAAGGTAATGGTGTAACCTAGGCTGGTCTGTACTGCTAGAAGTCTGCCGACATTACATCCCTACAACATGTCTGATTTTAGAATCTTACTTAAGAAGATTAACACAGTAAATATTCAAAGTTTTGAGAATCTTTTCATGAAGAAGGACATCAGCTGCTGGGAGGATCTAGGATCTCCACACAACAAAGCTTGTCCTACCCTGCAAAGCAATACTAGATAAGGACACAGACATGTGTTTTCGGGTAATTTTACAGAATGTCTTGTACTTTTGAAATTGACATTATCTCCAAGTAGAAGCTCGATATACAAAGTCGATGAATAAGATAATAAAACCGTTTGATATAGAGACTGTTTTTGATAGAAGTAGCATAATTTTAGACTAAAAGTGAACAGTGTGAGTGCGTTTACTTTTCACTTTGGTGATGATCCGACTGTAAATATCAGCCCAAATTAAATATATTTCACATTTTGATGAAAGACATCTGGACTGAAGTTCTCTCTTTGAATCCCAAAGGAAATGATCGCTCGTCATCCGTTAATTACATCTATTAATACCCACAAATCCTTGTTCCATCCTCTCTCCTCAATTCTAATTTCCTGAATGAACAAACTCCCTACAAAACAAACCTAAAAGCCCTAATTCATTAGACATTTGTAGATATATCATTTCATTTCCACACAAAATTCCCTTTCATTTGGACATGGCTTATACATATTGATTCAATAAAACAACAGCTCACTCAGAGGATCAATTTTCATCAAAGGGAAAATGAAGTAATTTTGACATTAGGCAAGAAACTAAATTTTCACAGCTTTTGTAAAAGACTAGCACATCCCCGTATCTAACCATGTTCTACCATAGGATTGTCATTAATAGCACAATCTAATTATTTCTTGAAAGCTGGAATTTTCACTGTTGCTGCTATCCACTCAGATATAAACGCATTATATAACTTATATCTAAAGAAACAGAGCAATGAAATGCTATTTTATTGAAATGTTTCATTTTGGAAATGGAAATTATGCTTCTGATGTAGGATTCCATTTAGAACAATCTCCCATCTAAAGCAAACACAAATGTTGGTAACCAAACAGAATGATTATTTCCTGTATATATGGTTGCCATCGTTCAAGTCAGGCTGACTTTCCTACAGGAAGGAAAGCGTCTTTTCACACAAGCATTAGGTTATATGTTAACCTTATGGCCTGTCAGATTTAATTATATCTCATATCCAACAGCCAGCGATGGAACAGAAAAAGAAAAAAACTTATCAAATTTGAAATCCTCCAAAAGTTTGCCTCTTTACATCTGCCATTATATCTGCAGATTGTCGAATTGCACCAAATGATCGGGTCATGTGGGGCCCTCGGGACTAACAATGGCAGATTAAAGGGAGATAAGTTAGCACCATGTCTTTGAAGATGTTTTATTTGCTATCATAAGGTTGTAAAGTTGTCATCCAAGAGGATAATTCCAAAAGTATGTAAGTCTTTCCACCATTCTGAAGGATAATTCTATAATTTTACTAGCTGTCAGCTGAGAAAATCTTAAATCTTTTGATGTTAAATACAGCTTTTGGATTAATTTCAAAGAAAACCTCGTATTTTGTCCGTTTCAACTTGTTTTCATCCCTAAAACTGACCTGACTGACCATGTTCTATGTGTGAGAGATTTTTATTTCCTGGGAAATTATATTTCTTTTAATTGTCTGTACCATGTTGGGTACTGATGCAGCTCCTCAGTACACGGTGTCAAGGTCATGTGATTGCTCCTGACCCTAATAACACATGCATTCGCCCATAAATGTATCACTCCTCATCATAACTCTGATGTAATATAGACCAGAAAATGAAATATAAACAATAGCATGAAAGTCAGTTGAAACAAGAACATTCCTTATGTTTGACAGATATCAAAGGTTTACGGTCTGAGATGTGGTATGACCCGAAAGTTCATCTATTTTTCATAGTGAACATATAAATACTGCCAAGAATTTCTGTTGGTTTTATTGAATGTTTAACGTGTTTATAGATTCAATTTTGATCGTTAGATATCTTGAAGATTTGAAATGAAGACTATTTTCTTTCTTTATTAAAAAAGAATCTTACTAGTGTACTTTAGATGTCTCCGTAGGAAGCTTTGAGTGACTTACGAAGTCTGTTGGAGTGCACATGCATTACCTGACTGGTGATATGTAATTGTATATAATACTCCTCTATACACATCAGACTCCTTTTCATACACAAATCCAACCCAGGTGCTCCACTAATAATAAAACACATTCTGCGAGTTAACAATTTAAACATGACACTCAATCCATCTGGCTGATGTCTATCATTATACTTACCATATATGCCCAATGGGTCACATAGACCTCACCCAAATTATGTACAGAAAATTTAATTTGCAGGAAGGCATGATATTATAAAACTGTTTAAAACAGGAAAATTGACAAGAAAAATGGAATTTCCTGGTATGTGTAAATGTGACCACCCAGATAGTTTTGATTATTGGCGAGCACATTGAGAATTAGAGGTTTTCCGCTGGTGTTTCCCTAAGTGAGGAGGATCAGAGCTAAAACCCAGACCTACAACTGCTTTGTGTAGAACACCCCCTCCACAAATTACATCTCTGGTCAACAATGGTACACAAGAACCTCTTACCATTCAAATCCAAGAAATTCATGTCCTTGGAAATAGACAGAATGTAACAAAAAAGGAAATCCCAAACCAAGAAACATAATACTGTATAATAAAATATTGGTAACCTATGGTTGTAAGAAAATTTGGGAAAAAAAAGATACACAAAAAAAATGGCTTACAAGAGATTGCTGGCTAGCAGGTGGCATAAAAGGTTGTTATGTCCGCAACATGGTTATTAAGGCAGGGAAAATATCCAGAAATGGAATCCGTTACAGCTTAAAAAGGAGAAACATCAGAAATGGATAGAGTGGTAGGCATTAATTTGTATCTTAAACCTTGGAAGATGAAGGAAGAAAAATTCTTAATAGGAAACACGTCTTGTGGCAGAGAAGATTTCTACATCTGAATAGGTCAAACGGTACAGCATACACAATCAATAGGAAATCGAGGCTTTTAACAGCAATTGGGGAAATTATATCAGTTTCTTTGTACGTATCATGGAAATCTGCGAGAAAATCCAACTCAAAGACATGGTAATTTCGCCTCAGACAAAAGCTTTCCCGATAAATACACGGTTTTGAGTTTTAAAAGCATATTTGCCAAAATGGAAGGATTTTAGACAGAAGAACTTAGCATGTGTTGGTCTCAATGTAAGGTATTACTGGAAAACCATGTGCAATTTAGACAATCTCAAAACTATATGCATTGTCTGAAGGAGAGACAGTGGTATTTACTGGGCACCTTTTATTGCCCGCGTCGCCTGGGCCCAAGAGGCTAACAGACACCGCTAGTTACTCGTCTTATATCACTACCCTAAGAACATAAACAAATCCCATTGTCCAAGTCCGCCATGCTAGAGAACAGAGCTTTCTAGCCATCCTATATCACAATGTCTCAATATCCATCCACGGAATAGAAAGTTTGAGGAAACCCATATAAACAACATCATGTCTGAGTTAGTCGGTCTAATAGACACTTTGTTCCCAGCTATAGACAATACAAGTATGACAACACACATTATTTCCATTGAATAAAAGCCCAATTTGGAAAAATGGCCAAAATGGACCAATTTGCCAAATGTAAAGATCGGGAAATGTCATATAACGGGTCACAAACAAAGATAAAGGACTGGAGTTTTGTATTTATTTGTTTCTTTTTTTTTAATATCTTTATAAAGTCGTATTATTTCAGAGAGAACATTTGATCGTTCATTACAAATTTACAAAAGAGACCATCATTGTATTTGTCATTTCTTCCTGAGAGTTCTATTTGGGATAAAAACCTTTATAATTCCAACTACATGTACTTATAAGAAATATTAATCTAGAGAAACAAGTTTATTGATTTGATCCGAATGATTGCAAATCCAATTATGACCCAATTCTATAATTGACCTAAGCAATGTGTTATTTTTAATATTTGAAAACTCCTTTTTTTGGCCATCAGTGCCTCGAGTACACGGAGGGGATAATTACTGGTTATGTATTTCTTGTACTGAGTGCATGCCCTGATGTAAATCAGTACGTTATGGAAATAGCAAAATGATACAGAACTTCGAATGAGGCCCAATCGGGGCAATCTGTTATACCAACACACTAATAACGGTAACGGTCAACTTATCAACTTCATATTGAATCAGGTTTTACATCAATTTCCAGGTAAAAAATGGCTCAATATTCCAATAAATTTTCATCTCTATACCCTTATCTTGTATTTCAATTACATTTCATTTGTGATTATCAGAAATAGTTTGACAATTTTTGTGATTGTTACACCAAGCGAACCTGTAAACTGTTATCCTGGAACACGATCACTACAAAATAAACATTAGCCTGCACCAGAAAGATTCCTTTAATAACCATGATAACTCTAATTGAATATTTATTGATAACGCAGGACTGTGCAGCTTGGTTTATCAGCTAAGTCTTATCAGTCATTTCAAATTTAGCCAATTCTATCTCAACTAACTATAAACATTATGCAGTAAATGTACATATAGATTGGCCAGTTATGTCTCGCCTCCACGCCAATAAACGCTTCATTTCTACCAGTCTCACACCTGATAGCATTCGAGAGGTATATTTCATAAATATCACAAACATTTTACATACAAATCTATAATTCTTTTGCAAATAAAAAATACCTGTATCCACTGCTATTACTTTTATTATCTGCTAGTACTATATAAGTAATGACACACATAGAAATGGGTTACCTTGGTGACATAAGGTCAGATTCTGAGCTTGACCTGTCCTTGATGATGGAACCATCGGGCCGCAGGCCCAGATGGGTTGCCATAGCGATGGATGTGGGAGGGGAGATCATTGGATGGTTCAGTGGCATGAACGGAAGTGGTCCCATGGCATACGGGTGGTGGGCAAATCCGTTGAACAAGGACTTCCTGTCTGTAAGTAAATTTGAAAGACCTGGTGAAAATTAAAAACAGTCAAATACTGTGACAAAACATCAAATACAGACCTGCAAACAATTGAAATTGTTATTACAATATGAAAACAAATTCTCTTTTAAATTGTTGTATTATCAATGTAATAAAATGGTGCAGGGGAGATAACAACTTTAATCAATCAGAGACATTGTCTATGACTGGTGCCAATTACACCACAAACTTTAATCTATTATAAACCATATACTTGTAGATATTTAAAAAGTACAAGTACAAAATTGATAGCTACCAAGGCAATATAATCTTATTGTGTTTTTTTAATGTTCTCTATCACACCATGACTGGCGGATTATCATTTCAATAGAGTACATACTGCCGTCGTCACTGGTTGATATTAGGCCCTTGACGTCCAAGATACCGCCGTGTTCTGTGGTATTGAAATGGTGATTAAGCTCCAAACAACTATTTAGTGCATTGTTGACTTCATATTTAATATTTATCTGTAATTTACTATTTAAAAGGTTTATATTGAAATGTAAAGCTTATTACAAAATGGCACCCATCCCTGTTTTTCTTGAAATGGTAATCAGTCAAACTGTGATTCTGATTGGTAGGTATTAAACAAAGGGGCAGATAACTCTTTATCTGGAGCACATAAAAATGGTACAATATGTACATCACTGCTCTTCAGATAAGTTATACTCAATTGAGAGTAAACCTACTCTTGAAAGTGTCTTCACAGGTCTGGTTTGTGAAAATATAAACTCTAAAGATCCTTCTGTGAGAAAGAATCAAAAGTCTAATGTTCTTCTGTGAAAGTGATAAGCCAATAAAAGGAGGGAGTAAATGTAGGTGATTGGGAAATCTGTTACGGGAGGAATGTACACTTCAACACAGAAATCTTATAAGGCTGAAGATTCAACACAGCACAATTTTATCACTTCAATTTCATACGTTTGACTTAATCTTTCAAATTTCGGATAATGTTTTCTCTCCTGTTGTAATTTCTATCATTATGCAATCTACTTGTTCAAATGCCAATTGAATGGAAGATAAATGAAATCAAAATTGTGTACAAACTATCATCAAAAATTCTCTACTGCATTTATCTGTAAAGTACAGAGTTTGTGTTAATTTCGTTTTTCTAGCCGAGTTGATTATGGATAGAGAAACCATGTATTAGCACACTCTTGTCCCAGATAGCATCTCATCTCGACAAGCAAATCTCCACAGAAAACTGTCAATGTTTTTTTCTATTATTTCTCAAGTACTGTAATACATCAAGCACTTGGAATACCCCTCCATACGGAGTGACCTACTTCAAATATCATACCAAAGATTACATGCTTTTGTTCGAAAAAACTTGGAAAGGTCCAAATATAGAAATGCAAACGCTTTTCTTGTATAAAGAAAACAATGTTGTTATTTGGACATCAGGTAGACAATCATGGGAAAGCACGCCAAGTGATGAAAGGACTTGTGTGATCACAATTAAATCGTTGACAGTATCGGAAGAAACCGCAAGAGGCAGGAAATAGATTTTACTGTACGATTTCTGCGGATATGGCGGTGACGTACAGTTCTTGACAACAAACAGCTTTGCCAATTTATGCAATCAATTGAAAGAAATAAAAATCGCAGCAGGAGAATCCATTTCACTTTCACACAAAACTGTTTATGACATATCAATATTATCTTTGAAAAAAATCCATTCAAAGTGTCCTTCCAATGAAAACTCAAATCTTCTACTATTAATGTTAAATTGTCACATGTTGTTTGTGTACCCTTGAAAATTGAAATGATTTCAACAGACTGATGTGTTACTTCCTATTCTTACAAATACTCTATATCATAATATTTTGTTACAGGTAATCCATAAATTATTTCTGAATAGTAAACTTGCACTACTCAAAACATCAGAATAAAACTTCAAGTTCAAATTGCTGAGTAAATCAAACAGTCCTTTTAAATCATTGAAACTGGATTCAATACATTTGGACCGAGTATCACTTTTAATAGACAAAACTCTAATCAATGAACAACTATTTTTATTTTGCAATGATTAATTTCTTTTGTGCCTCTTGCACTTAATCTCTGTTTACACAGTTTTAAATACAATGATATTCAAAAATAACAAATAGCCTTCATAATCACCTGATCATGTATGACAAATAATGAAAAATTCCTACCATTGACCGCACATATGAATGATATCACTGATATTAGAATTTGGGAATCAAAATCTAATAAAATCATATTGCCACCATTCTCTGTCAATTGATCCACACGCCACAATTCTCCTTCAATAAAAGCTGAATAAACAGATACTGCTAGTAATTGTGGTATTTATTGATTAAAATGTCATTTTTACCAATGTTACTGTATCAATCAGACCCAGCGCTGCATGTGACTTGAAAAGGTCGTCCATTGTGTGACCAGTCCAAGGCTTCATAGGAAATATATCGTTGACGGATGAAATGACAAATTTAATTCTTTCTGATTATAGCTATCAACACAACATCCGATAACACAAGTAAATTATTACATTGGCTAGTATTATAGTCCACCTAGACTTATCCATGAATCAAAACAATTTATAGATTTTCTCCTTTCTAATACTAGTCGTTTGGGCGCTTAGCTTCCCTCCTGTTTCTGGACCTGTACAGACCCATTGCTGATAATGAATGTTGATGTCGATGCCAGATATTCAAACCTGTCAATTTTATTTATTAATTTAACATCTTTACCCAGACACAGAATAAAACCACTGCTGAAGACGTGTCTGTCAATGTTGTGCTTTACAGAGCAGATCGGGGCTTTTACAGTTTAACTAAGGAGGCTGCCAATTGCTTTGAAAATACATTTTGAGTTTTTAATTCTTAAAGCTAAATGAAATTGAATTGATTACAAACTTGCACATGAAGAATATATTATTAAACAGACTGATGGATTTTTACTCCTGACAGAATTCTACGAGACACAGAGGATTTCTAAGCGGTTATCCGCACCAGTTTATGACATTAATAAGTATAGTTATGATGAGTGTACAGGGTAATCAGAAGGGACGGTGTCCGCAGTCACTTGGGGTGTGTCGGTGCACGATAACTAATTGGACTTCCTGTATATACATCCGAATGTACACAATCAGCTAACGTGAGGCTAAACCTAATGGAAATGCACAGATCTATAATATCTCTCAAGAACTTGACAGGCGCCTACCAAAAGAAACATGTGCTATTCCATGAAGAATGATTCGAAAGTGGAATAAGATTTCTAACCCCAAGTACATTCTGATTAAACAGTTACTCCATATTTTGATAATATCTATCATGTCCTCGCTGTGCTAACGATGGACTGTTTATTACATTCAATGACAACAAAACTCACTTACACACAAATAACAACTTCACACATGTATAAAACTATCATATTTAAACAACGGTTCACCCAATTAAGTTGATAGCATAGAGAAAAAACATGAATTTATTCTACATGTTGGTAATGTCTTTAGCAGTTCTGTTACTGTATACATACGCAGAGAGACCGGCTTCAAATTTTGTTTAGATTTATGATACATGAAATGAATGGGAACAAAGATTAAAATTGACATTATTTATCATAGCAATAAAATGTTGTGGTTTGTTAGTGAATCCTGGTGTTTGACAAAGCGGCCATTGTAATGTTATTGTATACACATCAGCTCTGTCCACCTCTGCAGACAATACCATAACTATCCTGTTTGTAAAATAACCCCCGACTTCTCTTATATAAACTCAAATAAATGTCTAACATCACAAAAACATTTTAATTATTTGACTATAAAACCCATGGTTTAAATTTTTGATAAATCCATATTCTAAAAAAATACAATCATAATTTATAGACTTCTGCTTTTTTCACCGGAGAAGACTAAGTCATTACTGCAATCCTTGATGATCAGATTCTGAGCTTGACCTGGTCTTGATGATGGAACCATCGGGGGGGGGGGGGGGCAAANCCCTGGGTCCTCTGAATCCCTAATTGGCCCAATCATAGACATGCAGCCCGATTTGAACACCCCCTTGTCACATATAACATATCTGACTTTTAGGATATTAACAAGCTGAAGCTAATCGTGTAAAACTTATTGGAGTTTCGAGAATTAGAATTCAAGATATTTTATATATTGTTTTAACAAAGCACAAACCCATATCCTATGGCATTACAAATACACTATCTAAAGAAATTATACACAGCATTCACAATGTTTTAGGCCAACTGATCTATGATAAAACTGCAAGAATTATTCGAAAACATATTTGACAAAACTTCCTTCATTTGTCAGGGAAGATACCAGTAACTTATGAAAGAGAGTTTTAAGTTTTCTTCCTGAAGTGAACCAGGAGACTGTGTGATAGTTATCCAAGCATCCTTTATCTTGCCCTTAAAATAAATCACAAAATATTGATCCGTAGGTGTTGAGTTGGGAATTCAACATTAGTTACTTTTTCATGTGTGCATAGACAACATATCCCACCCTAATAATGTAATTCTTTGATCCCCAGCAATTTTGTGATTAAAGTGAACAATTTAAAATGCGATCAATCCATGTTTTTTTGTGTTGTCATATTCAATAATCATTTTTCACGTCCGATAATCTGGGGATTTTGCCTGGAAGCCCCCCATCTGTCTATGCGGAGGTCCTTTCTCATGGAAGAACAACTTAAACAAAATCACATAAAATATCTCACCCCCAAATCCCTCACCTTGTACAGGGCCCTGGTATCTCTATAATTAAGTGACAGGGGATGTAGGTGGCCCTTTTTTCCCTTTCACGTGAGATTAAGGGTGCATTACCATGAGTAAATGTGACAGAAACAAACCAAAGAGAAATACAACAAAAAACAGTCATGCATTTCAACAAACGTCAAGAAATCTGTTTAAACCTTTGTAAATCTGATTTAAACCATTACAAATATATACTCTTCTATCCTGCTTTAACAGAGTAAAACTGTATTTCCTTTGAAGATAACATGTCAGATG